CAAAGATAGCCCTCGTGTAGCTTTGCGCGAAATTTAAAACAAACAAACATACTAACAACTACAAATAATTTTACACTGACACATTTTTGGTCTGTTTCGCTTGTTTCAATACTTCTGAAATAAAGAAAAAATGTGCTTAAACTTAAGTTTATATTCAATTGAGCTACATTACACAGTCTTAAACATGTGAGAACTTAGAATTTTGTATATTTTAATATCTCATTCGCCTAACTTTCTAAATTTATAGCCACCGACCCATTTGGTCAGTTTTGAAGTCGCAACTTGAAACATCCTGCTCTTATAAAATAACAAGGTTTTGAAACAGGGAAGAACGACATTTTATGATATCAGAAAGTCTTCATCCCATAGTTGAAGGTTATTGTTCCCAAGACCATCTAACTGTAGTTGTTGTTGCTGTAAATACCAAGAGGAACAGTAACCACATATTTAATAAACGGTGTAAAGACAAACTTGAAAACTTTTTAGCCTGTTTTCTTCGTGTAATATTCATTTCCTGCTTTTATTAAAGCTAGAAGCATATATAATAATTGAAACTGGAAATTTAAACCGAAACTAAATTGCTACGCTGACCAGTTGAGTGCTATTTTTTGTGTAACATCTAAGCACATACACAGTTGAAGTCAATTTAGTTGTCTGATGTCAAGTGGCTGTGGTAATATATCTATAACATTATATATATATATATAGCGAGAAAACATTAAAACATGCATATCGTTTTTTTTACCAGAAATATTCGCAAATTCGAGTCTACATTTGTGTAATCATCGTCCGTACATGCACAGGAAAAATAAATAAATACATTCTGACAAAAGTGACAGCTTTAAGATGAGTGCATTCTTATGTTAATTAAGGAACTATAGCGTGTTTTTTGTGGCGTTTCCTTCGTTATATCACAGAGATTTGAAATTCATTTCTTATTTGTTTTAAGACTAATATTACCGTTTAATCACTTCATATACTTATTGATAGGTTCGACGTTAATAAGCCTAGATCTTCCAACTAATACCACGTCGAGAGACCAAGCTCGTAGCGCCTCAGGAGCAGTTACCACAGAAAGGTATGGTAACTCAACTTACCTGAGCTCGACTGGTTCCTTTTGTAGTCGCTTCTCTTCTAGATGTCAAAGTAACCTTTCCGGGCTTCCAGTTGTAGAAGACTTCCCTTCAGGACTTGGCCTGGATGCCTTTTCACACACTAGCGGGTTTGTTATTATTCCGTATTCTATCTTAGGTTATATTTTGTTATAAAATTCGACAAATTTCGTTACGTATGTATATTGATCTAATTGTAAATACACTTAAAATATACCTTGCCAATACCTAAAACCAAACTTATGGACTTATCACTGTAATTTAACAAGGACCACAAAACGTTTCTAAAACGCACAGCTGACTGAGGGGGCTGCCTTGGTTATAGTATGGTAAAATTGGCTGACTTGGTTATGGTATGGTAAATTGGCTGACTTGGTTATGGTATGGTAAATTGGCTGACTTGGTTATGGTATGGTAAATTGGCTGACTTGGTTATGGTATGGTAAATTGGCTGACTTGGTTATGGTCTGTTAAGTTGGCTGACTTGGTTATAGTATGGTAAAATTGGCTGACTTGGTTATGGTATGGTAAATTGGCTGACTTGGTTATAGTATGGTAAATTGGCTGACTTGGTTATAGTATGGTAAATTGGCTGACTTGGTTAAAGTATGGTAAATTGGCTGACTTGGTTATAGTATGGTGAATTGGCTGACTTGGTTATAGTATGGTAAATTGGCTGACTTGGTTATGGTATGGTAAAATTGGCTGACTTGGTTATGGTATGTTAAATTGCCTGACTTGGTTATGGTATGTTAAATTGTTTTCGTTCATTTTTCTAAATGTTTCAATTTTTGAAGCTTTCCCCATTGATTATTATACATTGTTTTCTAGAAATTCAAATTTATGCAATAAATGTGCACTTATTTTGATTCTGATCTCCAAAGCCTAATATTTATCGTAAAACTACGTGGTTAGCATTGATTTTTCCTCCCACTTTACAGTGTTTTTTTTTTTAAACCAAGTTAGGATTTAAAGATATATTTTATTATTTTTTCTTGACTAATAATTGGCTTTACACCAGTGCTGTATAAATCACTCAGCGAACGACTCACATACAGTCACATCAATCTGCAAGTCAAAGTGTCGTCATCCAATAGCTTGAAAAAAAAATCAAAGCTAAATTACTTGTAATGGGTCATGAAAACTGTGATATACTGTTCCATCAAGATAGAATCTGATTATATGAAGTTGAATCGGATAGCTAAAGAAAAAACAAAAACTACGAAAAACGTAAGTAGGACTGTCAGAAATTTCCGCACTTCCACCCCCAACATGGCTAACTTCCGCTCTTATACTTCCCGCCATGCACGTGTTAGCTCGTGCAAAGCAGGAGGTAACAATGCAGGGGGTGACGAGTCACGTGTGAGGCCTTTCGCATTTAGGCATTTCATAACATTAGTTACTTTTATTTTCTCTTCTTGTCGGTAGAGAACAAATCTGATCTTCCCCCTTTAACCTTCTTTTATCACAGATAACTTATTTTTTATTTTGTGAAAGATGTACATGAAAATAACAAGTGCATAAAATGATGTAATGAAATTATAAACCATGACCTATTAAAATGGAATTATTTCTTAATAAATAATGAATGCTATTGTACATGTATTCAGAACCACTAAATTTAAACAGTGTGAAAGGAAATGCACGTAATTTACCTTTGGAACCAAATACTTCACATGTGTCTATAATCCGGTATAATGGCTTCACATAATAGAACAACCATCATGACCTTAGATACACAGATTGTCAAATGAAAGACCATGCTTTCCAAAAAAAATTTCTTGGACTATGTTAACATCAGAACTGCATCATTTGGAGAATATAAGCTATTAGATGGGGTTAATATCAAAAATGCATTAGCTGGAGGATATAAGCTATTAGATTCTGCAGTTGACTGAACACTCCTGCTGATTTCGTATCAAGCATACAATTACTTCTCCATTCTCACTGACACATTTAACAAAAAAAGTGGTCTTATTTGCTGGAGTCAGGTGTTATGTCTAGTCAGATGCAATAGTGTTTTGCCTTTTTTAATGTAACTTACAACAGCTTCAGCACTGACGATGAGATGTAATCAGAGAATTCACGAGGATCAGCTTTGGCTTTCTGATAGACGTTCGACTTAATCTGGACTCCAGAGAGCGATAATTTTATATTATCTTCCTTACTGTATGTTTAGGGACATTTTTTGTTGAAATTTCCCCAGGGTATCATACATTCAACATGATGATGATTTTTGACATGCTTATCCAAACGTTTCTTAGCTTCTAGTTCCTTGGGTCAATGTCTATGGATATCTTGTAGAAATGTGACGTTATTCTTATTGAATGTGAATTAAACTACTGAGGTTGAAAACAACTCTTCTTACTATTGCAATTAGTATTAAGATAGGAGTCCAGTTTGGATTGAATAGATTCATGTCTGATATAAACAACTCTGAAAGGGAGATCCACTAGTATCACAAATCATCACTTTTTCTAACTTGCATCCTGGACCAGAAGCGAAGTTGTGTTCACAACAGAACTGCAGCCCCTTAAATACATGAGCTTATTAATATAGGTCAACACCAGAACTTGTTGGACTAGGTTAACAACAGAGGTGTATTAGCTGGAGAATATAAGCCTATTAGACTTTATAAAGTAGCAGTTGAAGAGCATAAACTTATTTGATTGGGTTAACTTCAGAACTATAGCAACTAAAGGATATTTGATTAACATTAGAACTACAGCAGCTGCTGGAGGACATGTGCTTATTAGACTACATTAACATCAGATTTTTAGCAGCTGTGGGACGCAAGCTTATTAGTCCAAGTTATCATCAGATCTGTAGCATCTGGAGAACATAAGCTTATTAGACCAAGTTGACATCAGATATGTAGCAGCTGGAGGACATAGGCTTATTAAACCAGTTTGACATCAGAACTGCAGCATCTGGAGGACAGTAGGTTATTAGACTATGTTAACATCAGAGCTATATCAGCTGAAGGACATAAGATTATTAGACTGGGTTGACATCAAAACTGCTGCAGCTGGAGGACATAAGTTCGTTAGACCGGTTTAACATCAGAACTACTACATGACATAAGCTTGGTAAACCTAGTTAACATTAGAACTAGAGCAGCTAGAGGGCATAAGCTTGGTAGACTGAGTAAACATCAGAACTGCAGCAGCTGGAGGACATAAGCTTGGTTAACCAGTTTAACATCAGAATTACTAATATGGAAGACTTAAGCTTTGAAGACCGATTTAACATCAGAACTACCACATATGGAAGACATAAGCTTGGATGACAATTTAACATCAGAAATGCAGCAGCTGGAGGACATAACTTTATTAAAACAAGAGGATGTGAAAGTTTCTGCTTCATCAGTAGCCGAATAAATCGTTTCTGAGGAGTATGTGTGTTTGAAGTTAAGCACAAAGCTATACAAGGGGTTATCTGTGCTCTGCCCACCGCGGGTATCGAAACCCGGTTTCTAGCGTTGGAAGTCCGAAGACATATCGCTGTATCACTGGGGGGCGTTTCGGAGGAAAGCGAAACAAAGAATTTCTTTATATTCATTAGGTATACTTCCAAAAATATAAAATATAATAAAAATATTACAGCTTAAGTACTTGTGTGTAAAATAAAGGTATATATTGTCATTATTATTCAGTATAGCTAATTCTTTGTAAAATTTATAGATTAATAAAAATTGAAAAAATATATAAAATATTACAGAACAAAAAGAAAAGTAATTATTTAAAAAATCAGAAATTGTTTGCAAATGTTTGTTTGTTATGGATTTCGCGCAAAGCTACGCGAGGGCTATCTGTGCTAGCCGTCCCTAATTTAGCAGTGTAAGACT